GGTGCCATCTGCAATCCCATTTGGATACGGCCGTGTTAAGATGCAAGTGCGTGATATGATGGGCAATGTGTGGAGCGCGCATTACGTGAACGACATGTTTTTCTTCCGTCATTTGGACAGAGAAGCGATTGCAAACGAAAAGGAGGCGGTGACATTCCGGCCACACGATGCACACATCTTCGACCCGCCACATTTGATGGCATCTGTATGGACCTGGCTGAAGGAACGGTGTTTGGTGGTGAGAAGAGCATCACATATGTGCACCTTAGGGGGAAAGAAGCCACATTTGATGGTATCTGTATGGACGTATGGGACCATGTGGCAATGCGGAAGGATGTGGTTGCAACCAGTAACATTGCGGCCCATGTGATTCAAGAAGGGCAGTTGTACCAGCACGTGGGTCGTGACATGTACGGGTACCATGTGAATTGGGTACCTGGTTCCTTGCATCCAGCAAGTGTTGATGGCAAAGTGACACTGGCAGCAAGAATGCAATCTGGTGAGTGGTTGCCTTTGGGTTGGATGCATGTTGGCGTTGTGGAGCATTGGCAGTTCTTGGTGGTGGTGACACGTGTCTCCGTTTGCAATCCTCATGTGAAGGACCGGGAATTGCTGGAGGAACACGCGCAATGTTGCTGGGAGAAGATAAGGGAGGAAAAACGACAGATGGTGTGCATGAGATATGACTCCCATAATGACCAGGCGATGTGGTCGATCGTGGAAGACTCATGCACCGAGCAAGCGCGGCCCTCGACAGATGGAATGTTTCTGGAGGCCGTTCGATGCAGACATGGGTGCACATCACTTCTTGGGTGGGTCCCTATCGTCTGTCCCATGACATATGACCATGGTGAACAGATGTGCATGAGATTCAAAGACCCTCTGGGTGTCCCTTTCCAACTCACCTACATAGACGGACTGCTGAGGCACATTCAATACATGGGTGATGACGACGCTCGTGCTGCATCGAATGGACAACCAACAACAGAGCAGCAGCAGGATATTTCACATTTGCCAAGTTAGGTCGATGGCCCGGAAACAGCAAATGATGGGGGATGTTCTAATGCAGAACCCGACGATGGTGACACCACTGCGGAGCACGTGACAGGGAGGGTAGAGAAGAAGAAGAAGCAGTGCACATCTAGGCCGCCTCGTGGACCGGGGAGTTCAACAAAAGCAAAAGGCAAACAAAAAGATGTCTCAGATCAAGGCCAGACTTCCAAAGCAGCTGCTGCCCCGGTTCAAAAGCACAGGCATCGCGCAGGGATGGCAGCATTGGCAGAAATTCGGCAACTCCAGCGATCTACTCACTTGTGCATCGCTTTGAGGCCGTTCATAAGGGTCGTGCGCGAGATTGTTGAGAAAGAAATCGCACCAGGGCAATCTATCAGGTTTCAGATGAACGTCATACGTGCATTGCTAGAAGCGGCCGAAGCATATCTCATCAACCATTTCGAGAGAACAAACATCATTGCTATCAACTGCAAGAGGGTGACGATCCTGCTGAAGGACCTGAGGCTGGTTGATAACTTGGCCAAGGCTCGCTGGGAATACGAATATGAAGGCATTATCGACGAGCAGAAGAGAGCGGAAAAACTACGGCAGATGAATGCTGCAAGGAAGGTCAACTGGGAAACGCAGGCGGGGAGGGGGATGTCTGAGAAGACATCAGCAGCACGCAAAGGCGGTGACACTCCAGCGGGGTCGTCGAAGAGGAAAGGAGCACCGCGCAAAGGCAATCCAACAAAGAAAAGCATGGCACGCAAATAAGAACACAGTGAAGACTGCGTTGAGACCGGTTCACACACACACACATATAATGTGTATGAGTGTGTAGGTGCGGTGTTGACTCAATACTCAGCGACGCTGTGTGCTCACTGATGTGTGCTGTGTGCTGTGTAGTGTAGTGTGTTGTGTGCTGTGTAGTGTGCTGTGTGCTGTGTAGTGTGTAGTGTGTTGTGTGCTGTGTAGTGTGTTGTGTTGTGTGCTGCGTAGTGTGTTGTGTAGTGTGTGTGTGTGTGTGTTGTGTAGTGTGTGTGCTGTGTGTGTGTTGTGAGCTGTTTGTGTGAGTGATTGTCAAACTGTGTACTGTGTAGTGTGTGTGTGCTGTGTGTGCTGTGGGCTGAGTGTAGTGTGTGTATGTTGTGTGTGTGCTGTGTGGTGTGTGTTGTGTTGAGTGTGTTGTGTAGTGTGTGTGTGTGTGCTGTATAGTGTGCTGTGTAGTGTGTGTGTGTGTTGTGTGTGTGCTGTGAGCTGTGTGTGAGTGTGTGTGTTGTGTGCTGTGTGGTGTGTGTGTGCTGTGTGCAGAGTGTAGTGTGCGTGCGTTGTGTGTGTGCTGTGTGCTGTGTGTGTGTGTTGTGTGCTGTACAGTAACCCGTAGGGTTAGATTCGTAACTTTATTTGGCTGAGGGCTAACCGCCAACCTGCCTGTGAGGAAATTCATAAGGCACAAATCTGTATATTCGGGAAAATACAGGCCAGGTACTAACCGAATTCGTACAGCTACCCTGACTGCCTATAGCAGGCCCGGGCTACCCCTACGACAGACAGGCCCTACATAGCCTATGCTGCTAGACGGTCCTATAGCCTATAGCCGGGTCCGATAGAGGCCGAGAGGCCGAAGCAGCAACGGTACCGGTCGGTCAGTCAGTCCGGTCTAGGTGTAGAGAGTATCTGGATAGGATAGGCCCACCGGGTGAGCACTTTTGGACGGGCTGGACCGAGGCTCTACAGTGGTGGTTTGTTGGGTGGTGGCAGCCATAGTTGCCTGTTCCTTCGTCAGAGTTGTCCATCGGCACTGAAGACTTCATCGCAGAACCTGTTCTTCATCAGGGTGGTTGGCGCTGGCCTCTAGGAGGCTGTTCTAATGTAGCTCTACTAACTGGGTGTAGGATAGAGAGTGGGGTGTGAGTACTGAGTGTGGCGACATACTGGAACAAACTCTGTTACGATAATTGTATGAGTTGCTCATCATTAGTGACCTTTCCAATTGTGATCTTCGCAGGTTCTTTCTTGCGATTGGTTGTTGGGAGTTGTGTCAGAGAGTGAGAAACAATGTGTGTCCTCTCCCCACCTGTGCATGTCTGTCTTCTGCTGCTTATTTTCACCTGTGTGCATTGTGGACTCTGTCTCCTCTCTCCCCTTTTCTTATGCATGTATGGGCATGTGTGAGATTGTCAATGTGTGAGTGGCGATAAAATTCGTCAGGCAACCAAGTTCATAACGGTAAAGACTTGTGCTCATTTTGGTTGTTGACGATGCGTGCTGTGAACACACTGACGTTTTCATGGTGTGAAGACATCTGCCATTGTGAGATACACAGCAAAGAGAATATGTGGAGAGGACTTTTTCTTATGATTCCAACATGATTTGTGTTGTTGATGATGAGCGCAGACAGCGTCGGGCAGATAACTTCTGGTAACGAAGGGGACGTGATACTTTGTTGAGCGTTGAATCCAGAAACTCTTGACTGTCTTATTGGATACTGGTTATAATGATGCTCATAACATATCAATGACCGAGAGTCTGTGTGTGTCTTAGAGTTTGTGTGAGTGTGTGTGACACACTATTCACTAATTCTCTGTCTGTTTTTGTTGTCTTATGCGCCGTACGGTTGAACCACCGAAGCAGAATTGTCGAACCAAAATTTGCATCTTCCCAAGCACTCAGTGTACAGTGTACGCCGTTGTTTTCGTCGAGGAAAGTATCGTTTCCTACGTACGTTGAAACTCAAGTCTGCCCTCACTCTCTTGCTCCTATGTCCCATGTCTTGCTCTCCCTCTGTTTATTTTCTTGTCCCTACAGCGTGCACACTCCCAACTAAAACACACTGATAACGTCTGCGGTGGTGACGGGAAGTGACTGTCAAACTTCCCATGTTTGAGACATTCCATGACGTTGGTACGACACACGGACATACACATACACAGATACAGACACAGACACAGACACACGGACATACACTGACACAAACACAGACACAGACACAGACACAGACACACACATACACGGACACAGACACAGACACAGATACATACACGAACACGGACATACACATACATACACAGATACAGACAGACACGGACACAGACATACACAGATACATACACGGATATGGACACGGACACATACACATACATACACAGACACGGACATACACATACATACAGAGACACGGACATACACGGACATTAACATACACAGATACAGACACAGACACAGACACACAGACATACACTGACACGGACACACACAGACACATACACACGCAGAAACACACACACACACACACACACATACACACACACACACACACACACACACACACAGATATGCACACAGACACACAGACAGACACACAGAGACACACACAGACATATCCAGACACACAAACATAACACACACAGACACACACACAGACACACACACAGACACACACACAGACACACACAGACAGACACACACAGTCACACACAGACACATGTACACGTAGAGACACACACACGCGCACACACACACACACACACACACACACACACACACACACACACACACACACACACACACACACACACACACACACACACA